TCTTTCTCTTCGAAATGTTTCAGTAGACACACAATGATTTATACATCTGTGGGATGCAGGGTGATATTTCAGTATGATCAGCTCAGGGTCATTGCTACATCCATTTCCTCAGACATTGGCCTTTCTTTCTTTGTGTTGGGGGACAGTCAGAATTCTACTAGCTCTTCTGAAGTAGTCAATGAATTGTTGTCAGCCGTGGTTACCTATGACCCGTAGGACACTGGTCAGATGGCCATAGCTACCCATAGGACCTGAGAAGTTTTCGTCTTGTTTGCCCTGTACCTGTCAACCACATTGGCTCCAACCTCCCTTCTTCTTCCTAGCCTCTGGTAACCACTCTTCTATTCTCTGCTTCTACAAGATTGACGTGTGTGTGTGTGTGTGTGTGTGTGTGTGTGCGTGTGTGTGTGTGTGAACGTGCAGGTGCTGGGGATTAAACTCAGGACCCTCTGCTTGTGAGGCAGGCGGAGGAACCACTGAACTGAACCCCCGGCCCGAGGCTGACTTTTGACACCTCCACGTCAGTGAGGCCTGACTTACTTCACGTAACACAATGTCCTCCACTCCCGTCCACGGCGCTGCAGATGACACAACTGCCTTCTTGTTGTTGCCGAATGATATGCCGTTCTCTTTATCTGTTCAGCTGCCCACAAACACCTTGGTGAGTCCATCCTTCGTTTCACGATAGGGTCTCCCATTCTTGGATCAGTCCTCAGGGAACTACATGGGGACACCCCCGACAAGGACCCTCCCCGTCCCTGCCCATCTTCTCCAGCCTTGCCCTGTCTTTACTTGGACTTGATCAGAAACCAAGAACACATGAAGGAGGCGGCTGAAGTCCTGCAGGGCAGGTGTTTGCTGGTGTTGGCACAGACCACCTGCTTCCTCCTGGGGGACTCCGAGTCTGGGATGCCAGTGACCAACACAGGGCCCTGCACAGCACTCCTCTCCCAGCAGGGCTGGCGCAGGGTAGGGCATAGAACTTCCGGGACAGAACCTCAGAGGCCGGGCCACCCTCGCCTGTGACATAAGGCATCTGCGTGGGAAACACCTCTCTCCTGAAGGGTAAGCTGCTCCAGCTTGTCTTGAGAGCAGCCACACTCCTGTGCCCGTCCATCTTCACCAACACCCAGTGAGAGGAGCCCCTTCGGGGCTGTGTCCTCCTCTTTGCTCCCAGGAGTGAACAGGACCCCAAAGCCCAAATAGACATCCTCAGACGATTTGCTTTACTCGGGTCAGGCCAGTGCTACCCTAGCCCAAGTGGGAGTAGGTAAAAGAACGTTATACAAGCTTGGCATGGTGGTGCACACCTGCCACCCCAGCACTCTGGGAGGCTGAGGCAGGAGGACTACATGTTCAGGCCCAGCCTGGGAAATTTAACATCTTAGACCTCGCCTCAAAATTAAAAACAAAAACAAAAAGCTAGGGATGTAGCTCAGTGTGAAGGCCCTGGTTTCAATCCCTAGTACCACATCATACCATGAAGCAGTGGAGGGTAGTGTGAGGGCGGAAACAGAAGAAAACCCTTTCATTTCTTCGAAAAATGCCATTTCGGGTGAGGGGAAGGTGGTATGAGGAGAGGTCGGGGCCGTGATGGGAACCTTTCAGCGCTTTCAGTGATGCAGAAAGCCCACTGCTGCATGTGTGCCGGAGGTGCGCCACCACTGGTTTGAGGAACAGGCGAGGGCCAGATTGCCAGGGCCCGGCACAGCAGTGTGCAGTTTGGGCCCTAAATCTGTAGGTGAAGTGTGGCCAGGTTTCGAGCAGGGAAGGCGAAATGTAGGACTTCTGGGCTTGCTGTGGGTGTGGGGGTCACAGGTGGGGCTGGGTCTAGAGCGTGTGATGCTGGATTGCGGGTGTGAGTGATCCCTACATTAAGGGCAGGTAGCCTAGACAGGATGTAAAGGAACAGAGAGAGGCTCTATTGTTGATTGTCACTTGTCACTCGCAGCTTGCTTGCTTGCTGTCTTGTTCGCCTTCCTGCCCTGGACTGTTTCTCCTCTGAGAAACAAGCCTTGGCCTTGGAGCCAGCCCAGTACGGACTGAAACCTCTACAAACTGTGAGCCAAATAAACCTGTCCTCCTTTAACTTCGGGTGTCAGGTACTCTTCTCAGCTATGAGGAAAGCAACTAAGACCGTTGGCCTCTACGTGAGCCGTTCGGAAGGGCGAGGGCAGAAACAGGAAGACCAGGTGAGCTGAGCGAGGATGATGACGGCAGGGCCGGCGTCCTCTGGGGGCGCGCAGGCTGGCTGGGCTGGAAGTGTGCAGGAAAAAGTGAAGACCGGGTGGTGAGACTGAATGACAGCACCGCTTCTCAGGTCGGAGGCTGGAGGAGGCAGCAGGTGGCCGGGCGCTGGCGAGCCAGGCAGCCCAGCTACGAGGTGAGCAACGTAACTGGCCAGCGCTGGAGGTTTCTCTCGTTCAATTAAACTATTTTTAGAACAGTGTTTGATTCACAACAGAACTGTTTCTCACACACCCCTAACCCGCACGCACAGCAAGCTCCCTCCCTATCAGCATCTCGCTCCAAGGTGGTGATATTATTACAACTGTTAGCTACACCAGTGTTGTCACCGGAAGTCCCTAGCTTACATAGGCCGCTCTCTCACTGCTGTATGTTCTGTAGATTTGGGCAAATGCCCAATGATGTGGCATCACACAGAGTAGTTTCACTGCCTTATTGTGTACTCACAATAACTGAATCTTGGAAACAGCCTAAGTCCCCATCAACAGAGGAATAAATAGGTAAAGAAAATGTGCTCTATAAACACAATGGCGTACTACGCAGCCATAAAAAAGGATAAACTTGAGACCTGTACAAAAATGGATCACCCTGAGACCATAATGCTGAGTGAAATAAATCAGACACGGAAGGTTAAATATCACATGATTTCTATGAGGAACCCAGAGTGTAAGCAATTTAAAGAGCCAAAGAAATGATAGAGGGGCCGGGGATTTAGCTCAGCGGTTCAGTGGCCTCCCTCGCAAGCACAAGGACCAGAGATCGATTCCTGGTACCAAAAAAAGAAATGATAGATAGGAAACAGGGAGATAGATCTCTTGCAAATGAGAAGGGGATCAAGGGATGGAGCGAGCAGAAAGGTGGGAAAGGAAGTAGAAAGGATTAAAGTGATATATACTTATCAACACCTCATGAGGAATGTATTCAGTATGTATCACAAACATCTGCTAATGAAAATGCAAAAGTTGTTTCTCCTCTTTGTCCCTCCTCCCCCCAGCCCCTGACAACCCGAGTTGCTGGCCCTGGTTTTTGCTGCTCCACACTGTCGTGCGGTCGGAGCCCAGCTCCCTTCACTTAGTAACGCTCATCTAGGTTCGGCCTGCCTCTTTTCACCCCTTCCCAGCTTGTCCGTTTTCAGCACTGAGTGACACTCCCGTCTGGAGGAACCGCCCTCGTACCTGCTGGCATTCTGAGTAGCACAAAGGTGCTATCAACATTTGTGCGCAGTTTTTCGCTGCAGACATAATCTTAAATTCCCGAAAAAATGCCAAGGAGCAAAACTGCTGGATCGTATGATAAAGAGTACCAGGTATGATCAAAAATACTGTGGGTGTTAAAAACATGTTTTTTAATTATTACAGTGAAAGACACGCTGCTGTAAATCCCCCTCGGTTCAACCACATGCACCCCATCGCTCTGGCCACTTTCTGAAGCAGTGCTGGAGTCCTCTTTTGTGTCACACCGTGATTTTTCTGTTAATCAGAATTTTCTTTATTAGTACCTGTTTGCAGTTCACAGTGATTCTTTTTATCACAGGGAGCTGACATGTACTAAACATTTTCAATCTTTTTTTAGCGCCTTCCTCTTTCACCCCTCGCCCTGCCTAATGATTTTTTTGCTTTGTTTTGTCTTGAGACAGGGTCTCTCTCTAATTTACATAGTTCAGGCTGACCTTGAACTTACTGTCTGACAGAGGTTGGCCTCGGATTCACAGCAATCCTCCTGCCTCAGCCTCTATGCTGGCTGAGCGCTCTCTAAAGAAGGAAAGCGAGCCATGTGGGTGCAGGCCAGGGGTTAGTGGTATTTAACCTTTATTGTTATATCCATTTATAGGGGAGGGACAAGACACAGATAGTAAGTAACCTACTGGGATTGTCTTCCAGTCTATCGATATGTCGTCCAATGACTCCAAAAACTGCACCCAAAAAGCAAAGGTGCCTTAGTTTTTTTGTAGCAGGGATTGAACTCAGGACCTTGCACTTTCGAGGCAGGTGGCAGAGCCACTGAGCTAAATCCCTGTCCCACCTAATTTTTGTTTTTGTTTTTGGTACCGGGTATCGATCGAAATCTGGACCTTGCGCTTGCAAAGCAGGCAGTGGAACCACTGAGCTAAATCCCTGGCCTATCCGCCTTAGTTTTAATAAGTATGTTCTAGGTAGAATAAAAGGAGTAGAAGTTCTCTTCTGATCTGGGCGCAGTGGCGCATGCCTGTAATCCCAGCACTAGGGAGGCTGAGGCAGGAGGATCGCTGTGAGTTTGAGACCAACCTGGGCTACATAGTAAGTTCCAGGTTGATCTCAACTACATAGTGAGACCCTGTCTCAAAAAAACAAAACAAAACAGAAAAGAAGCGCTCTTCTGTTCCAGACTGGCCATTCCATAATTCATATTTAAGAGAACTAGGCACAGTGGCTCACACTTGTAATCCCAGTTCTCGGGAGACTGAGGCGGGAGGGTTGCACGTTTAAGGATAGCCTGGGCTACATTGTGAGACCTTGTCTCAAAAAACTAGATAGAAAAAAATGAGAACCAACACCTGTCATGTAAAGGTACAAGATCCCAATAATGAATGTAACTGTACTGTATACCTAAAAAGTACCAATAAACTCAGTGAGAAAAAACTAGATACATAGATAGCTCTAAGAAAGATTATCACGGTGCTGAAGGATCTCAAGACAAGGTGACGGCAGGAGAAACAGAAAGACCTGGAGACATTTGCAAAGCACAGACTCTAGAGAACCAGAGAGGTGTGAAGGGGTTGGGAGCAAAAGTTTAAACTTATCTGATTCCCAAGGGCAGCACTAGGTCAGGCTACAGAGAGCAAAACCTCTGACTGCTCGAAGCTGTTTAGCAGGGAAGCCCGGTGTCTTGGTGGCAGGGCCAGGGTGGGGACCAAGGGCTGGCAGATGAGAGGTGCAGGTGCTGGGACAGGCCAGGCTCAGAGACTCAGGCAGCTGCTGCCTCTGACACTTGAACCTCTCGGGCTCCGCAGGGAGAAGAGAAGTATGGGCCTGCAGCTGTGTCTGTGAAGAGATGTACGGCGTCGTTATGAAGACGGCACTGACCTGCCCACAATGCCTGCTGTAAGGGGTGCTGCAGCCATGGGGGCGTGTCTGGGTTTGTACATGATTTTCACCATCTGTATGAATGGAACACGGCCCTGTTGCATCCCAGTGGACTGGGCTATGCTTGTTTTGTTTTTTGAGTCAGGGTCTTGCTATATAGTTTAGGATGGCCTTGAACTCACTATGTAGCCTAGGCTAGCCTTGAACTCACCACAATCCTCCTGCCTCGGCCTCCAGGTGCTGAGATTACAGGTGTGTACCACCATGCCCAGCTCAAGTGAGAGTTGCGTGTCTGTCTCCTCTGGTGGATCTATGAACTTGTTATAGTCAAGAATTCTCTTTCAGCCAGGCATGGTGGCACACACCCATAATCCCAACACTCGGGAGGCTGAGGCAGGAGGATCGCTGTGAGTTTGAGACCAGCCTGGGCTAGTGAGTTCGAGGTCAGTCTCAAGTACATAGTGAGACCCTGTCTCAAAAAACCAAAAAAACAAAACAAAACAAAACAACAAAAAAAAACAATTCTCTTTTAGCCAGGTGTCAAGGCACATGGCTGTGATCTCACCTACTCAGGAGGCTGAGGCAAGAAGGTCACAAGTTTAAGGCCAGCCTCAGAAAAAGCAAAAGCCTCTCTCAAAATAAAGTTTAAAAGTTTTTAAAGAACTGGGGATGTGGCTCAGCGGTACTGCCCCCCCAAAAATGTTGTTTATGTCTTTGTATCTTAATTTCCGGTACCTAGCTAATGATTGGCCCATAGTAACTTGTTAGATGATTCAATGAGAAACTGAATAGGCTGGATAGCGAAGTCAAAAGCGAGAGACTTCTCTGCAGCATCATGTGATGGTGTGCGGCTTCTGGGATGACAATTCTGATGGGTTTATTTCTATTCAGTCATCTGTCTGGCACTGATGCTCTTTCATGGTACAGTGTACTTTTCAACACTTTTTTTAAAAACCCTCTATCTTAGTGAATATTCACAACCATGCCCTGAAGTGAGGACGCTGCAAGAGGATTTCAGAGGCGCTGAGTATGTCTGAGGTGGGGTTTGTAGGAACCTCCTGTCCGATTTCCTAGCCTGGTGCTTCCCTGGTGCCCAGGCCGAGCCGGTCCCACAGGACACGGACTGCGTCTGTCCCCACTCCCCGTGAAACACAGTGACGCCAGGAAATTCCACAGCCTTGCCTTTGTGTGTGGGAAATAAAGACGCAGCCACTGTTTCTTACGCTTCAGATATACATATACTTCAAGCCTGTAAAAGACTCACATCAGAAGAACTAGGATACTTCAACCGGAAGGCCCACATCTGTACAGCTGTGTGGTACCGAGGTGAGAGGTGCGTTCTCTCGCATGAAACGTCAGAAAGGAGTGTCCAGGATATTAACCCTCATCAGGAACTTGTTTTTTTGAATACTCTGGATGCTCACCCTGCCCGAGGCAATCTTTTCCCAGGATGGAAGAGTCAGGACCGTGTGGAGCCACTGGTCTTCCATGAGCTCCGCGTTTGAGTACCACCATTCCTGCAGGAGGAGAGGGCAGAGGTTACCCGGCGCTCTTCCAGATGCTGAAGCAAGGCAGAATCCACGGAGAAAAGTGAAGCCTGCCGTCCACACTAGGACTCGGGCACTTCCTTATGTAAATAAACACAAATAAGTCAACAATACTGAATATAAGGCTGGTGGGCGCTAATCATGATTCTGGCCTTTTTTTTTTTTTTTTTTTTTTTTGAAGTATTGTGGACTGAACCCAAGGCTTTCATACTGATCTATATGCACAGGCTGTTTAATTTTTAAATGTTGAGACAGCATCTCACTGAGTTGCTAAGTGGCTCAGGATGGGCTCAAACTTGAGAGCCTCCTGCTTCAGCCTCCCACATGCTGGGATTACAGGTGCTTACCAGCATGCTGCACCGGTCTTTGCTCTGGAGGAGTCACACCGGCAAAGGGAGGAAGGGCTTGCAAACAAATGGCGGCCAGAGTGGACAGTGGTAAGGTACATGGGGAGGGGCAGACCCTGTGCCACAGGGATTCCGCTGACAATGTACAGGGGCCGAGGAGCCTCACAAACCTGAACCATAAACTGCCAGCCCGTTCAGGGAGATGCAGCGTGGCCTGTGATGACTGCTCCAGTCATTAGTGGGGCGGCCCCGCACCCGTCTTCACAGGACGGAACTTGACCCGGAAGGTGATGGAGTGATGGGGTCACGAGAACGCCCCTTGGGGGGGTAGCGTCCTTACAAAAGCTTCCGACGGGGAACACGCGCGGACACGGCAAGAAAGGGCCGCGGGAGCCCGGGCCTTCAGAGTGCGCCTCCTCCTTTGCCCTGGGTCGTGGACTCGGCGACCTCCAGCGTGGTCGGCACCTAGTTCCTCGTCTCCAGGCCCCCGGCCCAGGATGTCAGTGGAAGCCCTCAGAACTGCTGGGCCGGCGCGGCACCCACCTTGCTCAGGAGCAGCCAGCTCTTCTCCAGCACGTTGCCCTGCGTTTCCGAGATCTCCAGCGCTTTGCTGAGGAAGAGGTGACAGTTGCGCCCGTCTCCCATGAGCATGCACACGTAGGCCATCATGTGGTAGAGCCGCGGGTGGAACACGGCGCCCGTGGTGTTCTGAGACAGGAGATTCTCCAGGTTCTAGAGAAAACAATCAAAACTATGATCAGACTTGTGTGTGTGTGTGGCCTTTGGGCATTGAACCCAGGGTCTTTGCACTGAGCTGTGTCCCCAAGCTCTCTCTCTCTTTAATTTTGAGAAAGGATCTTGCTGAGTCACTAAGTTCCCCAGGCTGGGCTCAACTTGAAATCCTTCTGCCTCAGCCTCCCAGAGTGGTAGGATTGATTACAGATATGCAACACACCTGGCCGGGAAGCCCTTAATTATACTTATTTCCTCCACAGATGATCTGGAAGCATTTTAAGGATAGAAACAATCAAGTGAGAAACTACATTACAGAGAAATAAGTATTAGAGACAGAATGACAAATGTCAGGTGGGCGAGCTTCCAGAGCCCACCCAAAGGACTGTGGTGCGAGGGCCCACCCATGCTTCTCTGCAGCGACATTTCACACACACACACTTTCTGCTGATTATCAAAACAGAAGGTACAAGTTAACAGTTGAAAATTGGAGTGAGGAGTTGGCACTGTACAGAAATTAACAGCCATATTGGTCTAGAAACGTTAAACTTAATATGTATGGTCCAGTCTCCATGGGTTTGGTTACAGAAACTAATAAAGTATTCCCTAATTAAAAAAAAAAGAAAAAGAAAAATCGGAGAAAGAGCATTTGCCAGCTCTGCATGTAAGGGGCTTGGAAACTACAAGGGGACCCAGCACCAAGTAAAAAGCTGCACTGACTGAAGAAAAGAACCACTTTTGGATGTACCCAAACAGTGGGGACACAGGACAGCCTGTGAGAGAGAGACAAATGGATGACTTTAGAGAGTTGAAGGGCCATGGTAGGGGCAGACCCCGTGATCCTCCTGCCTCAGCCTCCCAAGTGTAGAGATTACAGTCGTGTGCCACCATAGAAGAGAGGAAGCAACAGAATATTTGGAGCAATAATGACTAAGAATTTCCCCCAAATTAAAGTTGACTAATCTGGCACATGTGTATTAATTCATCCCTTATTCATTGGATTGTGAGTCACTTGTTCTGTGAGTGCTCTGCAAGAGGAGCAAATACTTCTGATAAGTTTTAACTTGATAAATAAATGATGTCTTGCAATACAAACGTGGTGCTGAATGTCACCTGATCACAACTGAGCCCATGGTTGTGTGTGAGACAGTCTTGCTGTGGAGTCCAGGATGGCCTTGAACTGGGCTTCTCCTGCCTTAGCCTTGGGATTACAGGCATGTGCCACCACACCCAGCCTTTCTCTACTCCTTTCTTTTTTTTTTTTTTTTTTTTTTTATTTTTTTTTGGTACCGGGGATCGGGGATCGAACTCAGGTCCTTGCCCTTGCAAGACAGATGGCAGAACCACTGAGCTAAATCTCCCGCCCTCTACTCCTTTCTTGAATGAAAAGCAAAACTGCGCTGGGCTTGGGGTGGCACACGCCTGTAATCCCAGCATTCGGGAGGCTGAGGCAGGAGGATCGCCGTGAGTTCGAGACCAGCCTGGGCTCCATAGTGAGCTCCAGGTCAGTCTCAACTACATAGTGCGACCCTGTCTCAAACAAACAAACAAACAAACAAAAAACATGTAGTTTTCATAGATTCCAAGATAATGGTTTACTGTCTTTGCTCTGATCCCAGCAGCACCTGTCATATTTTTAACCTATACTGTTTGGGGATAGGTGAGCGTTACCACTTTACTACTCATGAGATAAAGATGCATTTTGGTTTAGTCACCTGCTCTTCATCTATCTGGATTTTTAGGTATTAATTTGGCCAAAAATTGAGTCTGCCTTTACTAGTCCTCAGTCCATATTTAAAAGTGCTAATGACGGCCGACTCATCTGTCACATGCAATGCGCACGTTATTGAAGGGAAAAGGGCAACTTGGAATAAAGTTGATCGTGTGTAATTTGTCAGAAATATTTTTTCTGAATAACATGGACCAAAGCATATCTCAAATTTCTCACAAGTTACCATCTTAAGCAAGTGACATTTACTCTTATCCATTTTACCCAATAATATTGTATATAACCCAAGAATTTCTACCTCCTGAAAGAGAGCCAGCTGCCAGGCATGGTGGTGCATGCCTGTAATCCCAGCACTTGGGGAGGCTGAGGCAGGAGGATTGAAAGTTGGAGCCTAGCCTGGGCAACTTAGCAGCTGAGATAGACCCCATCTCAAAATAAAAGATAAAAAAGGGCTGGGGATGTGGTTCAGTGTGAAGGCTCATGGTTCACCCCTGTACCACCGTCAAGCAATCAATGTAGTGGTTTCTGAGTAGCAAAGTAACGGGCCACACTCCTTTTCTTCTTCCTAATTTTCCGGTGGTTTGTCTCAAAACCTGCTCTGATGCCTCGCATCCCCTCTGTCCTTGGAAGGACGCTGACCCCGGGGTAGAGGGAGGGCAGCCTCGCCTTGAGCAGCTCCACCCCGCTGTCCTGGGCCTTGTGGGATTGCTCTTCGATCTGCCTTTGGAGGTGGAGGACCTGCCCTTCCACGTACTTCACAGTTCCTGCGTAGTAATCGGTCGTCATGGTTCTCCGTGTCACCAGACTCTTAGCTTTACTGAAGAAGCTGGTGAAGTTGTCCCACTCCTGCAGCCTGGCGTACCTGCACCACCACAGGGAAGGGGAGAAGTCGGCGCAGCTCGCCGATGGGCTGCCTCCCTCACACAGACCTCAGGGCTGGAGTCTGAACCCCAGCGGGGGAAAGGATGAAGGCCCAGCTTTGTGGGTTCACGGGGTGCAGGTGCCTGAAGATGCCGTCCACGCGAGGGGTCCCCAGCAGCTCCGGGTCTGCTCCTCGCCCCACTGTCTCCAGCCAATAGATGGGGCTGGTTGGCGGCTCGGGGAGAGACAGCGAGGTGCAGGAGCCAGGACCCATCTCTCCTCTCCTCACCCTGACGAGGAGGATTAGCACGGACCTCTGCCTTGGCGGCAGAGACCCCGGTTCTAGAGAAGCCATATCCTCCGACATCGGCTCCACCAACTGTCTCCCCCTGGCTTCAACCTTGGAGGGTGTGGGCAGGCAGGGGCTGCTCCGTACGCGTTCCCTTCAAGCCCCAGCACGCCTCAGAATCGAGTCCTGGACCCCTGGACACTCCTGCACAGGTGCCCACCCCGCAGATGTGGTCAGGGCCTTCCACCCAAAGGGGCGGCGTCCGCTCGGAGCTGACACACGTCCTCCCGGACTTCCGGACACTTCTCGATCGCTTTATACCCAGTACCACACGAGGGCTACTTACACAGCACTTGCACTGTGTTGTTTAATGACAAGGAAAAGCCCGTACGGTTTACGGTTTCGGTACAATTGCAACTTTTCTCGCCTGCTATGATTCCCACCTGGATTTAGGGGCGTCCATAGGCAGAGGGGCTGTGGGTGTAGACGAGGCTGTCTGCACCGCGGGCTTTTCCTTCTTAGCCCACATGATCTATGCGGGCACCTTCTAGCTGTCTCAGATGTACGTTACAGACACTTTCCTTTCTCTACATTTTTTTTTTCAGGGAACTTCTCAGCCTGCAGCATTTTCCCTTGGGGAACAAAGTGATGCCCAACAGACCGTTACCAGATAGCCAGGCCCGAGTAAAACCCCAGGAGGATTCCGCTGTGGAACCGGAGGATGGTGTTGTCCTCGTGGAGGCTGACGAACTGCAGGCATTCCTCAAACGGTTTGTAAACGAAGCCTGCAGGGGAGAGAGAGAGAGAGAGAGAGAGAGAGAGAGAGAGAGAGCGAGAGAGCGCTGAGCTTGTGGCAGGTGAGGGGCGCTCCTCCTTCTGGCCTCGGGGCTCCCACTGCCCCCGGGAATTTACCACTGCGGTTACTTTGTGAACCCTCAGGGGACCAACAGCCACCTCCTTGTGTGGGGCTGTGGCCCAGCTGCCGTGGAAGTTACGCGCGTATCTGACGCAGCTCCCAAGTGCAGGCCGGGAGGAGCAGGGTTTAAACCACCAGACCTGACCCAAGTCTAAAGAAGTCGCCTTCGGGTAGCCTGCGACTTCTCCTTTCCAGCCTTGCCCCCTGGTGGCAATGTGTGTATCCTGTTTCATTGTCATGTGTGTAGAAAACAACCTCCTGGTTAGTTCGTCTGGTGGTGTTTTGTTTTGTTTTCTTTTGTTTTTGAGACAGTCTTGCTGTGTAATCCAGGCTGGCCTCAAACTTGCAGGGATCCTCCTGCCTCAGCCTCCCAAGTGCTATGATTACAGGTGTGCGCCACTAGGCAGAGCTGTTCTTCTGGTCTAATAGGTATACAGAGGGCTGCCTATTTGATGACACTTGAAAGCTGTCAGGAAATAACTTGTTTTCCAAATCACCAACAGCTACCAGGGCCTGGTACTCTAAGCAGCAGCGGTTCAACCCTTCATCCCAAAGCTGGAAATCCCTAAGTACCATCCTGCTACAAATGAAATACCCCCGCAAAAGGCAGCTAGGAAGACAGCACCACCTATTTCAGCCACAGGGCCCCGCGCTCAGATTTAACTCCTCCTCCTGCTCGGGGCCTCCCGGCTCCTGCTGCCCAGCCCCTCGGCCGCTCCACCCGCCTCTAGCTGCACAGGCTCCCAGCTCCTCCGTCCCCCGCAGCGGCCTCCTCACATCCCGCAGGGGCCCCTGCGGTGCTTTTACGTCCGAAAGCCACACGCACCACAGTAAAGCATAATGTCCAAGCACATGAAGTAGAAATACGCCTTGCTGAAAATGTGCTCCTCTTCCGAGGACAGCCGCCACAGCGACTGCAACACTGGGATCAGCTGCTTGTATCTGCGGGAAAAACAGTGCGGGGTTAAAAATGTCAACAGAGGGTGATGTCCGGGCTGGGTCTGCTCTTGGCCCGGTCCAGTAATTCAGAACCAAATACAACTTTTCTTTTTCTTTTTCCGGTATTGGAGATGACCCTGAGCTGCATCACCCCGCCTTTTTTTTTTTTTTTTTTTGGTTTTTTTTTTTTGAGACGAGGGTCTCCGTAAGTCACTAAATTGTGCGGGCTGGGTTCAAACTTGCAGTCCTCCTGCCTCAGCTTCCTAGAGGGCTGGGTTACAGGTGTGTACCACCACATCTGGCTCCAAATACAGCTCATAAGCAGACCTCCAAACTGCAAACCTACCCGCTCAGGACGACGCGTCCATCTCCCACTGGCTTTGTGTGTTCTGTCGGGGTCCTCCACGCCAGGGTGACTGGGGCCGGACCCTCCATCCCAGCTGCTCTTCTCCGGGTCTTCCCTCCCTGGGCAGGGCAGGGCGGCGGCCAGATTCCCATAGTCAATACCTGTTTCTCAGCAGGAGAGAGCTGCTAAGTCTGCACAGCACGGAGCAGTACTTGTTGGGGTTCTGCAGCAGGGCCCACATCTTTTGAGCTCGGAAGCCTAGGAGGAAAGGAACCCCTGGCTGCTCCGCCTTCGTCCTGGAGTCTCCTCCCGCGCCTGCTCCGCCAGCCCTTACCTAACTCGATGGCCAGGTCCAGGTGGCCCATGAAAAACTTGATGTGACTCAGGACGTGCGCCACGTAGGCCACCATCTCGATGGCCTCGCCTTCCAGGGGGAGGTGGGCGATCAGCTCCATGGCCTTGAGCTCGTAGGGGAACCACACGCCCTGGTGGCCGGCCAGCTGGTGGAACAGCGAGTAGTCCAGGAAAGCCTTCACGATCTGGAATGCAGCCAAGCCGGAAAGCCGATGTGGAGGGGGAAATCAAGGGCAAAGGGGTTGAACCCAGGGATTTCACATTGAATTATATCCCCAGCCCTCCCTTTTATTTTACTTATTTATTTGGTACAGAGGATCTAACTCAGGACCTTACACTTGTGAGGCAGGAGGCGGCACTGCTGAACTAATCCCTAGCCCCCCCCCCACTTTTTAAAAAATTTTGAGACAGAGCCTCATTCAATTGCTAAATTGTCCAGCCTGGGCTCAAACTTGCAATCCTCCTGCCTCAGCCTCCCAGAGGGCTGGGACTACAGGTGTGTGCCACTAGCTGATTACTTTGTCATAACAAACATGCATTTGTTTTGTAATTTAACAAAAAAAAAAGGTTGATTTGATTTGCTATGTATGAAAATGTAAGAAAGGACCGGTTGTAAGCCTAACGAGATTTAAGAGAAGGTGGTCACTTCTGAAACAACTCTTTCAAATGGGAAAGCTGCTTCAGATTACAACTGCTTAGAGAAGGGTGAAGGGAAAATAATTCCTTCTAGAGAATCAGATTTATTTTATATATATCACAATATGTGTAAATTCCTTTGAAAAATACAAACATAGCTGGGTGTGGTGACGCACGCCTGTAGTCCTAGTGCTCTGGGAGGCTGAGGCAGGAGGATCATAAGTTCAAACCTAGCCTGGGCAACTGTGTGAGACCTTGTCTCAAAATTAAAAATAAAAAGGGGGCTGGGAATGTAGTTCACTGTGTAGGCCTTAGGTTCAATCCCCAGGGCAAAAAGGAAAAAACAAAAAAGGAAGAGAGAAGAAGAGAAGACAAAGCCAAAATAAAAGGACACGTGGGAGAAATAGACACTCTAATGATAGAAGTGGGAGACAGTTGCGTAGGAGAGGCACTTCAGAACAGGGACTTTTTCTCTGAAATTCTACATATTGCACAAAATAGTCTACACATTCTGTTAAAGGCCAGTTGAGTATTTGTTAATTCACAAAGTCCATCTTAGCAGCCCCCTTCTTCCTTCCTGGTTTGGAACGTGCTTCAGAGGACGCCACCAGACAGGAAGGACAGCAGGAAGTGGTGGAGGAGGACACAGAATTGTCGGACGAATAAAAAAATCCATGGCTGCAGTCGGGCCTAGGAGTTCTTGGATCAGAACCAAGAGGACAGAGTCCAACGATTTCGGTGTAGGGACACTCACAGCTGGAGGTCACGTGGCTTGTCGGGGAAACCAACCCCTACTCTGGGTTCCTACTCTGGGTGTTTTCCCCAGTGCTGAGTGCCTGGTCCACTGCCGAACCCCGAGGGGACCCTTTCCCTGCTCCTCTGCTTTCTGTCCCAGTCACCCACCTACCACCCTTTCTTTTCTGTTTTGGCTTTTTGCAGTACTGAGCAGCTACATCCCCAACCCCTTATTTATTTCTCTGTTGAGACAGGATCTCACGCAGTTGTTAAATTGCCCACACTGGGCTCAAATTTGTAATCCTCCTGCCTCAGCCTCCCAGAGTGCTGGGATTACAGGTGTGTGCTACTATGACTGATGGTCCCCAGCCACCTTGATAACAAGCTTCTTAATTCACTTTCCCTTTGCGCTTTTCCATTGATCCTGCTCTCGGCCCCAATGCCACCACAGTTGTCAGGAGAGCTGCGGGACTGGAGGGGTAAAGTTCAGTACGTGTTTGCTGAGGACCGGCTGCTCTCCGGGCACTGTTCCCACGGTTTAGGATGTGCGTGGGACAGCAGGCCAGGTCCCTGCTCTCATGGACTTAACGGGCTAGCAAGGGAGAGAGACTGCACCCATGAAGTAGAAAGCAAGAAGATGTCAGATGGCTGAACACCAGCAAGACGGTGCATGAGGCAGTCAGGGAGGCCTCCCGGAGCAGGTGACCACTCAACTGAGAAGCGGTGGGCGGTAGGGCCCGGGGATGGACGCTCCAGACCGGGGCAGCACCTGACACGAGGGCTGGCTTGAACCTGGAGTTGGACGAGCCGGTGGCCCAGGCACTAGGGGGGACTCAGTTGCTATGGTTTTATAAACACTTCCACGTATGTCCTCCCACACTGAGAGGAACACGACTGCTGGGGACAGGTTCCTGGCTAGGAATCTAAGCTCCTCCCAACAGTGCTACCTGATCCCGCCCCTTTATACTTGATAGCGTTGATTCTAGGAGGAAGATTTTTGTTTTTGTTTTTGGTACCAGGGATGGAACTCAGGACCTTGTACTTGCGAGGCAGGTGGTAGAACCGCTGAGCAAAATCCCTGGCCCTTAGGAGGGAGTTACTGGCCCAGAAGAAACTCTGAATGTTTATCAAGAAGCCGGGTCACTCTCACTGCGCGAGCTGGATTTGGCCTAGTCGTTTCTTGCTCTTGTCTCTCTCACAGAGCCCTCACCTGATCAGAGGCCTCCGGTTGGTGACCTTGACTAGTGACTCTTCCAGTCTTCCCCCACCTCTGTGGGGTCCCTGAGACCCTTTCGGAGCGCACACAAGGTCCGAGGTAGTTTCACAACATCGAGGCATTGTTTGTACCAGGAAAAATAGTGACCGGGCCTTAAATGGGCCAAAACAAGAACTTGGCAGGGGTCCTGTCCAACTCAGCAGGCAAGGTTCTTGTCCTCTTTCTCTGCCAGTGGCTTTGGGCTATTTTAAAGCTCTGTATGTTTGCAGAAACTGGGAGTGGTATAAATGATATGATTCCTTTCCTAGAAATGTAAACGTCTGGGGAAAACACGAGTGAAGATCACTGTCACGACTGGTCTTGTAACCATCTGTAAGTTGAATACTCACTGGAATGACCTGTGACTAGTTCTCTCCCTGAGACAGAACCTTCCTCATGCTTTCTTCCTCAGTGATTCACGATTCTCTTTTAAAATTGGATCGTCAGGGGCTGCGGGTGCAGCTCAGTGCTGGGTGCTGGCCTAGAGCGGGTTGATCCCGGCACCTCCACAAACAAATCACAGGGAACTGTCCTTGAATATTTCTTTTTTCGCCCTCATTCTTGGAGGAGTGTAACTATGGAATTTTCCAGAGGCAACATATGTGATCTTGCTACAGAATGAAGGTGGAAGAAGCCATTTACACCGGGCGTGGTGGTGCACACCTGTAATCCCAGCACTCAGGAGGCTGAGGCAGGAGGATCGCTGTGCGTTGAGACCAGCCTGGGCTACACAGTGAGTTCCAGGTCAATCTCAACTACATAGTGAGACCCTGTCTCAAACAAACAAACAAACAAACAAATAAAAAGAGGCCAATTTACCTTCTATGAAGCCAGACATTAAGATACTTGAAAAATACCAACAACAAAAAAAAAAAATTGGGGGGGGCAGTACTGGGGATGGAACTCAGGGCTTTCACACCGAGCTACACTCCCAGCTTTATTTAATTTATTTATTGTTTATTTTTGGCAAGCTGGGCTCCAACTTATGATCCTCCGCCTGGACCTCCCAAGTGTTGGGAGTACAGGCCTGGGCCACCCCATGCAGCTCCTTTATTTTTAGTTTTGAAACAATGTCTCACCAAGTCACTAAGTTGCCCAGCCTGGGCTGGAACTTGCAGTCATCCTGCCTCAGCCTCCCAGAGTGCTGAGATCAAAGGTGTGTGCCTTCAAGCCCACTAACACTATGACACTTAATATTTTATTGTTTTTGTTTGGAGAAATATAGTTTATTTGTTTGGTACTAGGATCGAACTCAAGATCTCGTGCTTACGAGGTAGGCAGTGGCACCATCAAGCTAAATCCCTGGCTGGAGAAATATAGTTTTTAAAAATGAAAATGTTATTTCTGTTCATATGTTAAATGTTTTTAGCTTAAAATATATTTTTTAAATTTCTCAGTTTTTGTTCTATGATACTATCAATAGTCCATATAAATAAAAGTCACTTGGAATCTTCAATAATTTTTAAGAGTGTAGGTGGTGATCCTGGGACCAAATTTTTGTTTGTTTTTTTGAGACAAGGTCTCACTGTGTAGTCCAGGCTGGCCTCGAACACATGGAAATCCTCCTGCCTCAGCCTCCCAAGTGCTGGAATTACAGGTGTGTGCCACCATGCCAGATGCCAAAATATTTTAGAACTGCTGGCAAAACCCTCCAGTCACCTGCTTCTTTTTTTCATACCCTCATGATTTTGAATATCATTTGCCTTCTGCTGAGATTTCTTTCCTTCGTTTTATGGGGTTTTTTTCTTTTTTCTTTTTGTACCAGAGATCAAACTCAGGTCCCTGCCCTTACAAGGCAGGTGGCAGAACCACTGAGCCAAATCCCTGGCCAGTAAGATTTCTTTCCAAATGAGATTCAGAAACTCAAAGAGCAGCTACAGAACCACCCTACCTGGAAGTCGTTTTGCGTCTCCAGGGCTGTGTTCACCTGCATCATAGCTGTCAGGTGGGCATAACACTTATGAAAATAATCACTGCAGCTGTAGATCTTCCACAGCAAGGAGAAGCAGGCCTCCTGCTGGTAGAGTTCTGCCAGCCTCTTCCTCCTAAGAGATAAAGGAAAACAAAAGGAACGCGGGCAGAAGTTGGGCCCTCGTCAAGGTGGTCAGGTCACACATTTGACCCGTCTAGGTAACTGCTGTTAAAGGAAGCTTTTCTTTGGTACCGGGGTTTAGAACTTAGGACCTTGAACTTGCAAGGCAGGCACGGTGCCACTGAGCTAAATCCCAGGCCCAAATGAAGCTATTTTTAAAAGCACACTGGGCCGAGCATGGCGGCGCATGCCTGTAATCCCAGCACTCAGGAGGCTGAGGCAGGAGGATCACTGTGAGTTTGAGACCAGCCTGGGTTACATAGTTCCAGTCAGTCTCAAAAAACCCTGTCTCACCCCCACCCCAAATCACACTGGTATCACGCATCACACTGGGTCTGATAACAGCCCCAAAGGGCAGTAATTACACCTGAGGAAGGTGAAACTCAGACGGGTTAAGTAATTAACTCAAAGTCTCACAGCTAGAAGGTGGAAGTGGCAGCACTTACACTCTGTCCACCTCCAGCCTGGCCAGTCCCATGCATTATGTCCTCCGCTGCTCTGCTCTATTAGAAGTGAGGTCTCCACTTAAAGGAAATGTGCACTTTTAACATTTACATATATTTTTGAAACAGGCTCCCCCTTTGTAGTGCAGGCTGGCCTTGAACACACTAGGTAGCCCAGGCTGGGTTTGAACTTGTGATCCTCCTGCCTCAGCCTCCCAAGTACTGGGATTACAGGTGCGCCACCGTGCTGGGAAGGACCATAGACATTTGGGTGTTAAATGTGGTTTCGGGCAAACAGAAGAGACCACGCTCTGGGGCTGCTCGCACTGTGGGGAGGGTGAGACCCTCTGCTCTCGCCAGCTCCTCCTCTTACCCTGGTGGGCTGTCTTGGACCTGCTGGTTCAAATAATGGGAGTGCTTCTTTCTCTCCATGTGGTCGTGGAAGAACAGGGAGAGTAAGTTGTGAGGAAAGACGCGGTTGAGGAGCCTCAGTGCCTTCCTCAGCGTTTTCTTGGCAAGCACCATCTGGCCCATATTAAAGCAAATCTGCAGGGAGAGGGGCAGGAAGCGAGGGAAACAGCCAATGCAGAGATCCTGGACACGGCTGGCAGCTTCGGAGCAGAATTTCTGTGGGGATTCTTGTCCAAAGAGCTGATCTGTGGCCCAGGAAGAGAACCCTCTGCACTGGGCATGATGTGTCAGGGCAGTGCGGAAAGGAAGGTTAATGGCTTCCTATGGTGCCCCCGTCTGTCTCTAAGGAATGTTGGCTTGTTCGAGTTCATTTGTAGAGGTTGTGACAAATGTTCATCGGGAAGCTGTCAGTCTGGAGGACAGGGCAGGTCTAGCTGCTGGGAGGTGGCAGTGAGGGGGTTTGGGACCTGTGCCTCAGGGTCCTGGAGTCTTGGAGGGGTTGGGAGGAGGGTGCAGATGCATGAGGACGACTTCTACAGAAAGGCCCAAGGCAAATAACTGATTCATTCAGGCCTTTCTTTCCCAGTCCTGGAAATTGAACCCGGGCCCTGTGTAATGAGCTACATCCCCAGTTCTTTTTTTTTTTTGGGCCTGGGAAGCGAACTCTGTTCCTTATGCTTGCAAGGCAGGAGGCAGAACCACTGAGCTACATCCCCGGCGCCTTCCCCCAGTTCTTTTTATTCTTTTTTATGGGGAAGGGGGGGTCTCACTGAGCTGCTGAGCTCCCCACACCAGGCTTGAACTTGTGACCCTCCTGCCTCAGCCTCCCAGAGTACTGGGATTACCGGCTTCACCACCACGGCCAGGTAATTCATGTTGCATCTTTAATGGGTTCTTACCTGACCTTTAAGGGTATAAAAAGTAGCCAACTCGAAAGTGTGACTCCAAGTTTTTTCCTTCTTGAGTATTCTCAGCAGCCTATGTCCCTCATTCAAATGCACGTACGCCTGCAGTTGGGACGGAGAGAAGTGTGCTGTTGCGTTTGAGGGATCTGGGCCACAAGGGGCAGCACACCCTGACAGTTGAAGGAAAGGAAGCAGGAGCCAGCCCAGGCACTGCCTGTGGCTCTGTCCCCAGCTCTGCTACCCGGAAGGGCCTGCAAGCTCAAGAGCACGGTGGGGGAAGCTCGCAGGGGCAGGCCTACCCTGTCCGCCTCTCACCATGGGGAGGGTGAATCTCCCATTCCCACCCCACACGCTGTCACCAAGCTGCCCTGCTGGGAGTCTCCCCCACCCCGGGGAAACCTCCCCCGTCAGTGATTCATCCCCAACCGCCCCCTTCCAAAGTGCACCCAGTGCCCCGGCAGCATCCCCACGTCTGTGAGAAGCGGGTGCCTGCACTCTGGAGTGAGGCACGAACCACCCCCACTCCCTCCGCCGGTGAAGAGGAAGGTGAGCCTTGGAGCAGCTGTGATAGCTCAGTCCGGGCCGGATTGGGACAGCGCACTCCCGGTGTGCCTGGCCGGGTCCTGGGGCACGGCCTCGGGGACTAGGTCTGGTCCCTGGCCCCTTCCTCTCTGGCACTGTTCCTCTGCTTTGCTGCCTGGCTCCCAGACACAGAGCGGCTTTCTTCTGCCGTGTTCCTGTCTTGGGGCCGTGCGAATGTGGACTGAACACCCTGAAACCGTGAGTAGCAAAGAAACCCTCCTCCTCTGAGTGGCGGATGCCGAGCGTTCAATCCCTGAGCAACACACTGAATTCTCTTCACTTCCTCCTTGCCCAAATGAATCTCGGAACGCGTGAACACCGAGACAAGATCAGACCGGAGTAAAATAAGGTGAGGCCACGTCTCCAGCTCCCCTGCTGCAGCCGTGGGGGAACAGGAAGAGGAGGCAATGAGGTGCTGGCCTCACCCGGTCCGGTCAGATTCACCCTGAGCGGACACAAGGAACAAATGACACCTTCTGGAACCTGGCCCTAGGGCTGTGCTCGGAATTATTGTCCCCCTGACCTCACCACTCCTGTAGGGTGAAGTAGGGCGTGCACAACCCCAGAGAGTTGGCCCCTGGGGCTACCTGAACTTCCGGTGCTGACACTCACTGGCCACGTGCCGAGTCTGTGCATCCAATGTGCAGGAGACTGGAGAGGACAGGGTGGGCTGACTTATTACTTCATTAGTTTGTTTGTTTATTTATGGGGAAAGTGAACCCAGGGCTTTGGCACCAAGCCACATCCCCAGCCATTTTAATCTTTGAGACAAAGTCTCATTGAGTTACCCAGGTTGGCCTTGAACTCATGATCCTCCTGCCTCATGTGCTGGGATTACAGTCGGGCACCACCATGACTTTTAAATTTTATATAAATCTAAGGCAGGAAGGTAGACCGGGCTGCTGTGTTCGGCAGCAGTGGTAACACAGGGACCCGACCCTCAGTGTGGGCAAGGCCTGCGCGGCCAGCCTGGCGGGTGAAGCTGGCCGGAGCAGGAGGAAGTGAGCCCACAGAGGGATCTCCTCAAGTGACTTCCCGGAAGTCAGTGCAGCCAGCTGCCCCGTGAACGTGATTGAAGGTCAAGTCAATCTGCGAGAGGGTCTACCTCAGCCCCGGCCTGACCCTCCCGTCTGTCTTCAGGGAGACATTTACGGGTGTCAGCTCCTCCAAGGCTCCGTCCACCTGCGGTGAAGCACCAGGCCTTGCTGCCTAAGACGCTGACCAATGAGCTCTTCTTATTCTCCGCGTGTATCAGACCTTCCACTTTAGCGGCAGGTGGCCCTGCGACCTTCCTTATAGTGTTTCAGCGCCTTGGCAGGCGGAAGGCACACACACGTGTGATCACCGGGCACGAGTGGGCTGAAGGTGACGGCGAACGAGCTTCTGGGGGAGGCAGGATTTCAGCGCGGCTCCCAAGGGATTGCCAAGGGATTTTATGCTCAGAGGTATTTTGGGAAAAGTGCTAAGAGCCCTGCGGTGTCAGTGAGGAAGACCAGGCGGACGCCTCAGGCAAAGCCCTCAAGGTGGGCGTGTACTCGATGGAGTACGGTGCGTGCTCGTGTTTCGGTGCCATTCTTTCCTTTCCGAGCCGTGTGCTCTTCTGTTCTGTTTTGATTTTAGAGACGGGAGTCTCACTCTGTAGTTCAGGCCGGTCTCCAACTCACCGTGATCCTCCTGCCTCAGACCCCGAGGGCTGGGAGTAGAGGGGTGGCCACCACACCTGGTCGGTCAGCAATGTGCTTTTCAAAGGAAAGCGGTGTTGGCAGGACTAGGGGACACAAAGTGGTCGGAAAGGCGCCCTAGAGCTCCTCTTCCGGTCCTGCAGCCTGTAAGTCACTGCTGGGCAAGGGGAGGCCCAGGCTCACCATGTAGTTGTCACCGAGGAGAAGGCAGGCGGATGCGATCTCCAGGAAGTAGTACAAGGCCTTGTGGTTTTCTTCCAGAGCCACAAAGTGCTGGGCCAGGGGCAGGATGACGACAGTGAGAATGTCCTCGCACTGGCACGGCTCCTGGGGCACAAGGGTCTCCTCTCCCTGCTGCATCTTGTCTATCACCGTGTCGAAGAACCCCAAGATCTTCTCCTTTATCTCCTCGGGGCTGTGCAAATGCAGAAATCAATAGAGACAAATGACTAATAGACACGACACAGCTTTTGGTATGAAAATACCTTTAAAAACTAGCAAGGACAAGAGCCGGAAACCAAAGTTGGATACTACCGACCACACCACCACGCTCCCGCTGTCACGCTAAGGCCAAAGGACTGAGCACAGGGTGGCCCTGCCTCAAGTGCTTCTGCTCCGGCTCCCACCCGTGCGGCCGTACCTGAGGTCTTCGGGAAATAACTCAGGTTTCTTACGAAGCTCTAATCTAGAAGCCGGGGCCTCTTCTTCAGCTAAAAAATAAACAGACAGACGAGGTGTGTGGGTCACTGCAGCGCTCGCCTTGGGGGAGAAGACCTCACTGTTTGGGGTTGTTGCCACCGCCAGGACTGCACGAGCCCATCCCCTGCCCCACCGGTGAGACCACAGTAGATCAGAGGCACAAGATGCCACCTCCAGGCTGCGATGATTCTGTGTCCCCTTTACCCTTCTCCTTCCCCAGGAAAGCAACTCTCTTCCTCCTCCCTCCCTCTCCCCTCTCTCTCTCTCTCTCTCTCTCTCTCTCTCACACTGTGGTACAGGGATGGAATTCAAGACCTTGTGTTTGCCAGGCAGGCGTGATGCTGCTAAATCCCCAGCCCAAAAGCAACCAACTGAGAGGACCTGAGGGGCAGCAAGGCTGCAGGTTGGGAGGAACCAAGTCCCCGACTACCCAGAAAGGCCTCTGTGTACACTTCCCCTGGTGACTATGTGAGTGGGAAATGAAATGTCACGCCCTTGTGTCAAGAAAGTGACACGCCGGGGTTCACAGCGCTGTGATAATTCTCCCCACTCATCTGCCCTGCAAGAGCTAAAATGGCACTTAACAACCTGAAGAGCGCCGCCAGTTTCTCGTGAAGAAAGGGGATAGTTAAATGAAATACCCCAACAGGCTAAAGAGAGCAGAGAATCACTGGGCATAGTGGTGCACAGCTGTAATCCCAGCACTCCGAAGGCTGAGGCAGGAGGATTGCCACCAATCTAAAACCAGCCTGGGCTGCTACATAGTGAGTTCAAGGCCAGACTGAGCTACACGGAGAGATCCTATTTCAAAAAACCAAAAACCCAACCCAACCAAATCAAATCAAAACAACAAACAAACAAACAACCCCAAATCTCTCCACAGTGCATTACTCGGTTACATTATGAACATTTATGTCATCTTAACAATGTAGACATGATTATCTAATGCTAGTAACAAAAGAACATAGGGGTGGCAGGGCATGTTCATCCATGTCTGTAGTCCTAATACTCAGGAGGCTGAAGCAGGAGGATCCCTCTTAACTCAGGAGTTCAAAATCAGCCTGGGAAATATAGTAAGACCCTGTCTCAAGGAAGAAGGGGGAGGGGCAAGAACGGAGAAAGAGGAGCAGGAGGAGGAGAAAGAAGCATATATAGAGGAAAAAGTGCTAAGGAATAGTATGACAGAGTGCTACCCTCATCTCCTATAGCCAGAAGGAAACAAAGAATGTCAGAAATCAATTTTTACATGTTGGTAATCCCAACTACTCGTGAGGCTGAAGCAGGAGGATTACAAATTTGAGAACAGCCTGGGTAACGTAGAAACTGTCAAAAAAATAAGGAGGGGGACCAGGAATGTGGCTCAGCTGTAGAGTCCTTGCATGGTATACATGAGACCCCAGTATAGCCACACACACACACACACACACACACACACAACTTGAAAAAAAGCAGTACTTATATGCCAGTTAGGATACGGAAGTGAGCCTAGACAGATCAGCTAAGTTACAAATATTGGCCTCTGAGAAGAAATACTGAAGGCGATGTAGGGCAGTTGGTCATGCGGCCAGTGTTTTATGATAAAAACTTTTCGAAAGAGAGTGCGTACGTGTGTGTGTGTACACGTACATGTGTGTTTTGAGACTGCTCTCACTATGCAGCCCAGGCTGGCCTTGAACTTGCTGCAGTCCTCCTGCCTCATCCTCCTGGGTGTGGGGATTACAGGCCGTCATGCCTGGCCGTTTTTGTTTGTTTGTTTAAACCTTTACTCAAAGTCTGTCTCGTCGACAGCCTTCGGACCAATGACAAATTCCAGTCAGGACAACTGTAGGCTCTGGCTTTGCCAGGCAGTGCTGCCGAGGAAAGAGCACGCGCAGACGTCACTCGGAGGCATCTGGTCCCATCTGTTGCAGGACCCAAAAATAGCTGTGACTGTTGTCTCCGATGACCCCAGCCAGCCCTTCCCGGGCAGCTGCTGAGACTGGCCTATCTGCTAGCTACCAGTTCGCTACATTTCCCCAAATAGAACGTGGCTCTCCCTCCCCTGACTAAGTCTTTCCTGTGCACACTCTTGCTGCACCAGAGCCTGTCTCACACTTGAACCCAAAGTCAGAAGTTGCTGTCCTCCGAGTCGGACCCCACCCCACTTCCCTGTCCCCGTGTCCTGTTTCTTGCTGTGAATGGGGACCTATGCCTGCAGCTCACCTGGTCCCACCCACCTCGGCCCGGACCCCCTGTCCCCGAAGCCCTCCCTGATGGCCTCACAGGGAGACCCTGAGCTACCAGTGCCTGGCCAGGCCCTCCCTTCCCCTGGGGTCTGTGGTGCCCGCGGCCGGGATTCCTTGTGCCCAGCTCCTGGGGTCCAGACCACTCCTAGATCTCAGCCTCCGGGGGTCCCAGCGGCTCGTTAGGAGCCAGGATGGTTTACACAGACAACTGTGGGGTGTAGCCAGATTCCTCATGGTGTCCATGTCCAGTTTGTTGAGCCAGATATCCACCGCGAAGTGGTGATAGGGAACGAAGTCGGTGCCTTGGCAGCGGCCGCATCGGTGGGCATTTTCCTCCAGGAAGTGGGCACATTTCAGATGCATGGCTCTCTTCTCGTCCTTGAGCCACAGCTCATAGGCTGCTTTCTGCATCATGGGCTTGCAGAATCGGATGATGTGGCACTGGATCACCTCGTTGTGCAGCTCCTGGAGCTCTCTGTCTTTGTCTTTGTCGTCTAAGGGGACAGACGGGGCTGTTCGGCCAGGCAGTGGGCCGCCAATCCGCCGGGCCCCCAGGGATCTCTCCCAGGTGTACTCACCGGTCCCGTCGCTGGGCTGCAGGGCCGAGGAGCGGTGATGCACCTCGAAGGAGGCGTCCTGCTGCTGGGCCAAGCGCAAGTCCCTGCCGTTCTGGAAACAAACAAAGACGTCTGCCTCCACCAGGGTGGTCAGGGCCTCGATCATCATCTTCACGTTCCAGCAAGGCAGGATCTGGAAGAGCAGCTCCGTGGTGCAGGTGAGACCCGTGATAGCTGCGCACCGCACCAGCATCTGGTGGGACAGGCTCATGCTGTCCAGCTGGATCAGGGAGACTTCTGCGGGGGGAGCCACACAGGGGACCGGGTCATGGCTGTTCATCCCAGCCGCCCCTCTGCAGTCCTCAGGTGCGGAGACCCAGCTGGTTGTGAATCTCACTCTCGGACCTGTCTATGCTGGGACTGCAGAAGATGCATGGGCGATGTTCTAGAAATACACAGGGCAAGGACGAGACTGACTCGAAGATACCAAGATTCTGTGTGACAGTGTGACCAGGGGCTGGCCGTGAGGCACACACCTGTCATCCCAGCAGCCTGGGAGGGAGGCTGCTCTACGTACGGAGACCCTGTCTTCAAAGGGGCCGGGACTGCAGAGCAGGGTGAAAGCCCTGGGTTCAATCCCAGTGTCTCACACACCCACATAGACGTGGGCAAAGTGTAACAAGGGATGGGAGGCGAGCAGAGGCCGTGGTAGGCCACGGCAGTCGGACCTGCTGCTGGCTTAGTCGCTGCCCCAAGCCACTGACCCTTAGGCACAGAACCTGACACCCACGACTTAAAGGAGAAGAGGGTTGTGTCTCATGGTCTCAGAGGGTTTGGTCCATGGTCAGCTGGCTCCAAGACAGAAACCGCATGGTCGAGGAGCATGGGGGAGGAGAACTGCTCGACCACGGCAGCCGGGAAGTAGAGAGCGAGCAGAGGAGCCAGGGACAGGAGGGCACCCTTCCAGGCCAGGCCCGTGACCACCTTGAACCCGGCCCCACCTCCTAACAGCGCGTTCAGCTCCGAACTCATCAATGACGAATCCCCTCATGAGTACCGAGCTCCAGGATCTGAGCTCCTTCCAAACACCCAAGGCTTTTAAATTTCACTCTAGATCTAAACCATCTGCTATTTCTTGTTTGTTTCTTTTGAGACAGGATCTCGCTATGTAGTTCAGGCTAGCCTCCATATCAAAGCAATCCTCTTGTCTCAGTCTCCTAAGAGCTGGGATAACAGGTGTGCACCACCACATCCCGCAACCATCTGCTGTTCCTGTTCTTTTTTGGCTTCTCTGGCTGGTCCTCGCTAGCTTCTTCCTTGGCGTGGTTTTCCCTGGAACTTCTCAATGATAAGGCTTTTAACTATCTGCCTCAGAATTCATTTAGCCTCATGACACACGTGACATCTCTACGCCATGAGCAAGTGCCACAGAATTCATGGCTTTAACCCCAATATCTTGTCAGTCTCAGGATTAAGCCTAGCTTAGTTGTGCACATCTGTAATGCCAGCACTCTGGGAGGCTGAGGCAGGAGGATCACATGTTCAAGCTTAGAAGGGGAAACTTAGTAACATACTGAGACCCTGTCTCAAAATCAAAAAATAAGAAAGGGCTGCGGATGTAGCTGAAGGTCTTGGGTTCCAAAGGAGTCCAGAAAACAAAACAAATTTCAGCATTGGAGTTCTGGTAGCTTCAGAGAAAGACATCTGACAAAGATGTCTTTCCACTACAGACAAAATGTCAACTTCTCAAATTGTCCAAAGGTTGCAGTGGAAGCTAGGTTTGCCCACCTTCCAACTGTGTGTGTGGAATGAAACTGAAATGACACTTATTTGAAGCCAGAGAGGCTTCAGCTGTCCCGGGCCACCCTTGTAAATGTTTAAAGTTACTCGAGACTGGCATGGACCGAAGCTGGAGGCTGTAAAGTCATTTTCCTTTCCGAGTCTAATAATGCATCTCTGATTTATTATTTATTTCTGTTTGTTTGTTTTTGTACAGGGAATTGAACTTGGGACCTTGCGCTTGTGAGGTATTTTTTCCTTCTTATAAACATAGATGGCAGAAAATGTCTCAGTACTGTATTTGATTTGTTCCCCCCAGGTTCTGGTTTGTTTAATCAGAAACCTGCTACACCCTACTCCTTTTACCAACCAAATAAACCTTGGTCCAAGTCAGACCTCAGAACAGGTACTGAGGGTGGGAGGATCCTAAGTACGGAGAGAAAAGCCAGCCTTGTGGGCCACTTCCTACTCCCCAGGACAATTCAAACCCAAGAGCCCCGACTTTATCTTGCTCCCGTACACAGTCATTCCCGAGAAAGCAAAGGTGGAACCGAGTAGAAAAGGGATACACAAGGTCACATTTTCCAAATTCTCTTTACCTTTTAATGACATTGGGAGTGACAAGTTTTTCAGTCTGACGCCACTTGCAAGGTGACAGACTACGTCGTTTCCCTCCTCATTAAAATATATTTTTAATTCATCTGTTGACTTAATGAAACTCTCTATGGGGAGACAACAGGGAAGAAAGATTTCCAGTCATTGTCTTTGACTCAGAAAGCCGGGTTTTCTGATAAACATTGAGATGGGCCCATGTAAGAAAGAGTGGCCAGAAGTGTGTGTTGGTTCATCGCATATTCCAGAATCTCTTGTTGCAAATAAAACTGAAATCAAATGTACTAAAAAATTGCCTTCATCCCAGCCCCCACCCCAAAGCAAGAGTCGGTACAACTGGTGTCTTCCACAGACAGTTTTGCAGAAATTGAATTTTCAGTCCACTTAGGTTCGATCTCACAGCACTCAGTAGCTCATACTTGTATGCACGTTGGCTACCCTGCCCTAGTGCTGTACAGTTAGACCTTACTTATGAGCATTCAAGTTGCGAACTTTCACAGATAGGAACGGACCTCGCATCACAGGGGTGCAAATGAATCTCCCCAGTAGCTCACGTGTCCGCCGGCCATTGTCACCGCTGTGCTGCTGCTTCCTGTACAGTGCGACCGTACACAGCTGTGCGGTGCTCACTCGGGGACCGGGATGTCCCAGAGCAATAGGAAAAGCAGTGGTGAGGTGGCGGTTTGGCTTTTTATGCTTTACATGATGAGTTTGTGTCAAAGTTGTATGAGACTCACTTTGTCAGACTTCCTGCTGTTGTCCTGGAGGGACTTCCTGTACGGCGTGGAGGACCCAGGTCGTTGTCTCCCCCACCCTGACCTTGCTTGCTTTTGAGAACAGGATTCTGAAACCCAGAGGGCTGCCTTCTAGTGGGCTGGCCACCCCGGGGTGGATCTAAAGTGCCATCAGACTTGGGAACCTCCTGCCTCAGCCTCCCAGAGTGTTTGAGCTAGTCGTTTTACCTCTGAGAAATATGGAATTTTTTTCCTCCCTAGGTGACACGCACAAGGAGGCAGGGTGTGGAAAAGTTGGTGGGGAAATAGGAGGGACGGGGTGGGGGGGATTATAAGATCCCAGCACAGCGCCAAATAACTCCCAGGAGCCCGTATATGGACCTTCTTGCGGGCCCGGGCACAGAGAACAGTGAGATGAGCCATCCTCCCAGCTACACTTACTGAACATGTTATTCCACGTCATGCTGGACTTCTCCCCAGACTCCATCGCTCGGTAAAGGAGGACCTTGTGGTGGTCGAGGTTGAGCAACAACTCTTCACAGTAAAATGGAATCCCGCAGCTCCCCTCCACCAGGTACCTACCGGCCAAACAAGGCAACTACTACATTAAAGAACATCTTCTACTTCTTTTTTCCTCGAGACCATTATAGTCCAAGTCTTAAACTTGCTATATATGTATGTAGCCTAGGCTGGCCTGGAACACTTAATCCTCCTGCCTCAGCCTTCCGAATGCTAGGATTACAGTCCTGTGACACCACATCCAGCAAGAACCATCTTTTAAGAAGGAAAACGAAGCTGGGTGTGGTGGCGCAAACCTGTAATCCCAGCACTGGGGAGGCTGAGGCAGGAGGATCACTGAGTTCGAGACCAGCCTGATCTACATAATAAGTTCCAGGTCACTCTCAACTACATAGTGAGACCCTGTCTCAAAAAACAAAACAAAACAAAACAACAACAAAAAATCTCTTCTCATTGCCACTTGTTTCAGTCTGTTTTCTAATTGTAGGGGTGTGTGTGTGTGTGTGTGTGTGTGTGTGTGTGTGTTGTACTGGAGATTGAACCCAGGGCTTCACACATGCCAGAAAAGTACGCTACATCACCGGCCCTTTTGTTTTATTTTGAAACAGGGTCTTGATAAGTTACCTAGGATGGCCTCGAACTTGTGATCCTTCTGTCCTATTCTCCTGAGTAGCTGGAATACTGTGTGCACCACCAGATCCAGCTTTTTATTATACTATTTCAATTCTATAAAAACATTTATATGTTTCCAAACAAGTTAAAACTACAAAATAGGTACATCCTCGATCTTGTTTCTCTTTCTCACCCTATAGGTAATGACTTTGATTAGTTCATGATCTTCCTGCCTCAGCCTCCTCAGTGCTGGGATTATAGGCATGTGCCACCATGCCCAGTCCAGTCTTTTAAGACAAATAATGTCCCAATAAAATTCTGTCCATAAGCCGGGCGTGGTGGCACATACCTGTAATCCCAGCACTTGGGAGGCTGAGGCAGGAGGATTGCTGTGGGTTCAAGTCCAGCGTGGGCTACATAGTGAGTTCCAGGTCAGTGTCAACTACATAGTGAGACCCCATCTCAAAAAAAAAAATCTGTCTATATGTCACTTCATATTTTTGTCAGTATATCTTTGAAATAGGTACCTCAAACTGGTAAATGCCTATGCAAGTTTACACACACACACACACACACACACACACACACTCATGTACGTGTGTATGTGTGTGTAGACAGTCAGGTTTTGCCTGGAGTTATTTTAAGTGAGCCCTTCCTTGCCCAAGCCATCTTCTGGAGGCAGAACAACCTCATTAGAAAGAATGGATGAAGATGCACGTAGGAAGGACTGTAAATCTCAGCTAAAGAAGAGGCACTGGCCAGAGGGTGGAGCATCCCTGTATCCCAGGTACTCTGTAGGCTGGCACAGACCAGGTACTCTGTAGGGGAAGCTCAAGGCCAGTCAGGCATGGTGGGGATGCCCAGAATCCCAGCAGTCTGGGAGGCTGAGGCAGGAGGACTGTGAATTCATGCCCAGTCTGGGCAATTTAGCAACTTAGACCCTGTCTCAAAATAAAAAATAAAATGTCTGTGGATTAAATTCAGTGCAAAGGGCCTGGGTTCAGTCCCCAGTCCAACAACAACAAGAAAGAAAGCCTGATGTCAGGCTGGGCAATTTAGTGAGACTCTGTCAAATTAAATCACAAAGGACTGGAGGCGGGTCAGTGGTTGCCTAGCATTGTGTGAGGCCCTCAGTACCACAAATAAATAAATAGGAAAGGAGAAACAGCCTTCGTGCTGCTAAGGGGTTTGCTGCAGGACACATGGAGAAGCCCTGGAATCTCTCCCGCCAACCCCATGCTGACCCCCTGTGAGGCACCGCCACTCCAGAAGGGGGCGCTGCTGACACAGGGATACAGTTGTCTCGATTCTGGGACCTGGGAGTGACTGTGGGTGTCCAGGCCCCGGGACAGGAGCCCCTGGGCCACTCACATGTCCAGCTCCCTAGAGATGCCGGTCACGTTGAGGTCGAAACAGGCCTTGTTGCGGATGTCCTTGGGCAGGACAGCACCCAGCGTGATGTAGGTGGTGTTCCTGTTCTTCATGATGGCAGTGGCGGCCGCACAGGGATCTTCCACGAAGGGCGACAGTGACATGATGATGAAGATGGGGACCGTCTGGATCAGCTTCTCCAGGAAAGCCCAGGAGGTGTGGTCCACAAACTGGGCCTCATCGATGATGAGAATAATCCTCTCGCCTCTGGAAGTCTGGGCGAGGTGGGAACAGGGAGAGAGCAATGCTGAGCACTGCAGGGTCTGACCCGGTGCGGAGGCTGCGTGTCCAGAGGGAGGCTTCTCCTTCCTCACGGCCCGCATGCATCTGGGTCATCTTTACGGCCAGCTGGAGAACTTGCATGGGAGCAAACATTTCCACCAATACATTTTTAAAAAAGGAAAGGGGGAAGTGAGAGAGGAAGAAAGGAAAGAAAACAAATGCTGGGGATGTAGTTCAACTGGTAAGAGTGTGAGCTTCACGTGCACAAGCCCCTGGGTTAGATCCCCAGCACAAAAATAAAGAAATGCATGCATACATAAATAATTTTTTTTGAGACAGGGTCTCACTATGCAGGTCAGGCCGGCCTTGAACTCACTATGGAGCCCAAGCTGGCCTGGCACTTGCAGCGATCCTCCTGCCTCAGCCTCCCAAGTGCTGGGATTACAGGTGTGTGCCACCACCAGGTCTGGCAATAAATAATTTTTTAATGATGCAAATCAGTAGTATAAAAGGGTTGTAGCAGTACCCACAAAAGCCAAGAAAAAGTGCTCATTCCACTGGGAAAAAACAAACAAACAAACAAACCTGGCACATCAGCTACAAGTCATTTTACTCTTGACAAAAGTTGCAGGGAGATCTGCTTGACACGGACTCAGCTTGCACACTCATTGAGCACTCACAGGCTGCACACCAGACATGGCATGGAAGGGACGCGCACGGAGCCAGCCCTGGACTGGCCGAGTTTATGGAACAAAGCCAGATCATGTGTCCCTTCATGGGTACGGACAACCCTTCCCTAAGTAGTCTGAATTAGTCATTCACTCATGAAGCATTCACGGTTCTAGGCATTGGGGATCCTGTCTTAGACAGAATGCGGAGCTCATACCCCGGATTCGGCCACTCTCAGAGCTGCCTTCCCACTGGGTGAGGCGCAGATGGGGAAGATCTTCTCCCTGTGCGCCCTGCTCTGCCCTGTTCCCATCTCTTCCTTTGTGCGTGTGCCAACAAAAGCGGCAGAGCCTGTTTCAGTGCCACAGACACACACACACACACACACACACACACACACACACAATTAACGGTAATGATGATAAAATGAGATTGAACGGGGTCCTTCCAATGTGAATAAAAGCCAACGCTGCACACGGCGCTACCACTGCGCTTCCCGAGTCCCACACATCGGATCTCCACTCGCCTCATTCTCACGACGCCCGGGGGACGTGGTGTTGCTGAACCTATTTTCCGAGGAAACTGAGACCCAGTTCGATGTGGGCTGGGGTCACACAGGCAGTCAGCGCCCCAAGGCTGCTGCGCAGCGCAGTCAAATGCAGCGCTGGTCATGGTCGCCACGCTTGAGGGCCCCGTGAGAAGTTGTCAGAGAAAAGCAAACAACTCAGCGGTCCCTCGGCCTAACGCCGGCCCTAGGTTTTTAACCTCTAGCAGGAGGACTCACAAAGCCCTATTTTAAAAGAAGCTCCCGGGGGTGCCTGTGACGCCACAGTCCTAGGCCAGACACTGATTGGCTGATTGACCGTGCTGGGGATTCAACCCAGGGTCTCACGTCCGCTGGACGCCTGCCATTTATGCAGCGGAAGGGAGAAGCGGGTCCGGGTCCGGTTACCGACCAAACACAGCACCACGCGCTCATGCTGACTGCAGCTGATAGCCCAGCCCTGCCTGAGCCGCCCCAGGGGCCTGGAGAGGTTCTCGCCTCTGGTTAAAAGAGAGCGGTCGGGCTTGTCCTCTGCTCTGCATGTAGGAAGCCTGGGTCAGAGGTGCACGTCCTGGCAGTGCTAGGAGGGGCAGAACTGGAATGGGCGGAGAGGGAACGGGGATTATTGGGAGACGGTGCAAATGGTTCGGAAAGAGATGAGGACCTCAACTGTGGCGGTGGGGACAGAAGACAGAGGGAGGCCAGAGACCATCTGAGGGCAGAGGAGCAGCACCTGGTATCTGAGCAGTGAGGCACACGGGTGAGAAGGGGCAGGAGCTCCCCCCACGGGACTGGAACTGGGACCGGTGCACTGAGCCACATCCTCAGCCCTTTTTTTTTTTTTTGGTACTGGGGATCGAACTCGGGTCCTTGCACTTGTGAGGCAGGCGCTGGAACTAGGCTACATCCCTGGCCCTTCCTCGGCCCTTTGTCAATTGTGATCCTCCTGCTTCAGCCTCCCAGAGTGCTGGGATTACGGGTGTGTACCACCACAGCTGGGTTGGCAAAGGAAACTTTATTTCAGTTATAAATTTTATTTTATTTTATCCCATTCCCTCTCTCAAGCCCCCTCCCCTGGCAAGGGCAACTTTAAATGACACATGAATGCATTTGCCGCTAACGGATCTGGGGCCGGGGATGTAGCTCAGCGGTGCTGCCACCTGCCTCACAAGTGCAAGATCCTGAGCTCGATCCCTGGTACAAAAAAAATCAGTGTCTGAACGAGGAGGAACGGGGCTGTGGCAGGAAAAGGCAGAACCTGGTATTCTACACCAAACTCAGCGTGAGTCACTCCAGCCAGGGGCAGCGCTAGGGGTGAGGACGGAAATGTCCCATTCTGTCCCTGTCCACGGGGGTGGACATCCGGAGTCCTGCCGTTATTCAGAGAGGGCTGGCATGTGCGCAGCGTTTCCTGGGGAAGCAGCACTGAGCATTTTCCATAAACTCCAGGCATTTAAGCCTTACACCCTCATTATTTCCCATGCGATACATGATCAGACCCAAGCAAGGAGAGGTTAAGCGCCTGGGTCTGAGGCCACTCAGGTACCAAGTGACAGGCCTAGGGGCTCACACCTCCAGCGTCTGCCTGCAGGGCCTGTCCAGTAAGCATTTTTTACTGGGTGGTTTGTGTCTGCAGTCCTGGGAACTGGACCCAGGGCCCCTAGGTCTGAGCCACACTTGCAGCCCCTGTAACTACTTAGTAGATGAATTTCATCTGAAACGGATGAGAAACGTGGGCTGGAGAGGCCTGAGCCACTGGAGTCGGGCTGGGGACTCCTTTATATCTAAATTCTTAACAGATCGTTAGCTCAAGGTTTGGAAGGGCGGAGGACTCTAGGATAACGCACTCACATCCGTAACTGTTATCCTCACGGGTCGCCTTCCCTGGCTGAAGGAGCACCCAGCACATGGGCAGAGTGCACTCCTGGGCGTGCCCGAGTGTGTGGAGGACACAGCTGTGGGGCCCTGAATCTGCTCCCCGCCCCCGCCCGCTCCAGCCCACTCCCCAGCTCGGCTTCCTGGCCACCGTGAGCCAAGCTGCTTGTCTCCGCCACACCCTTCTGCCATAAGGTTTCTGAAGCCGTGGAGCCCGCTGGCCATGGACTGAATCTCCCAAAACCAGGAGCCAAACCGAGCCTTTCTGCTTTAAATCATGGGTGTCAGATGTTGTGCCTCAGGAAAGTACTGTGTCGCACTCCCAAGGGGCCTTGAGCCTTCGCCCAACTTCCTCCGCCCCAGGCTTGGCACCCACGGATGCTTACTTTCTCCAGCATCTTCATAAACAGTTTTTCCACTTGCTTCTGCTTTTTCAAGGCGTTCATCCTGGAGATCTCCCGGGAAGTGGGAAACTGTACGAAGAATGAGAAGAATATTGAGTATGTGGAAACAGCAAAGGGAACGACTTGTTTGGCGACTCTGGGCGAATCATTCAGCTGTTGTGCGCCTTACAAGTCCTCAAATGTTAGACAATCCATAATGTCCTTCCCAGTCTTGCTAGAACAGCGTAGCTATGATGGAAAGGTGAGAAACACGTGAAGCAGCAGTTGGCCATTTGGAATTTCTTTTTTTTTTAATTTTAACATTTAAATTTTACTATCCAACAGTTTCCTCTTATCTGCAGTGGCTATTACTCCCCCAAGATTTAAAAGATACCTGAAATGCCAACAGTACTAAACACTGCATACACTATTTTTCCTATACTTATGTACCAATGGTTATTTAATTTATAAATTAGGCACGGTAAGAAATTAACAACAATAATTAATAATAAAATAAAACCATAATATAGTTTAATAAAAGGGACTTAAAACTTATAAATGCCTTAGTTTTGGAACTTACCATGTAATATTTTTTTCCTTAAATTCTTTTATTGGTACATTTTAGATAGGTGATACATTTACATTCATCACTGGGTACCTGCACCTTTACATGATGGAGCTTGGTTGGAATTTCTTGATATAGTATTTCTGAATACCTCCGCTATGTCTGAAGAATGTGGACACCGGCCGAGCATGGTGACACACACTTGTCATCCTAGCACTCAGAACGATCATGAGTTTCAGGCCATCCTGGGCTACATAGTGAGACACTGTCTCAAAAAAAAAAAAAAAGCCAAGTGGGGCAGCACACACTTGCAATCCCAACACTCTAGGAGGCTGAGGCAGAAGGGTCACAAGTTCCAGCCAAGAGTGAGCAACTTAGTGACTTCGCAACACCCTGTCTCAAAAAGTGAAAAGTGTGCGTGTGTTGGGGTCTGGGGATGTAGCTCAGTGCAGAAGCTCTGGATTCAGTCCAATACTACAAGGTAAGGGGAAAGGGAAGGCGGTGGGGGAATGGGGCCCGGAGATGCCACGCGATGGTACAGCATGAATTGAGCACACGTGAGGCGCTAGGCCCTGACCTCAGCGCTACAACACAAGACTGCTCTTCCGGAGGAGGGGGAGCCATCGCCCCTCAGCTGGGTGCTGCGGGTGAGAAGGAACATGAAGGCCAAGAGAGGTGGGGAGGAAAGCAATGGTACCGGCTTGCTGCCCTGGTCCCTGGCGGCTTACCTGGACGTGGAAAATGTCGTTAAGGAGGCAGTAGAAATTCTCCTTCATCAGTTTCCTGACTTTATTTTGAATGTTGATCTGCCGCTCCTTGTAATGTTTACAAGTATCCAGGCCTAGCACGTTGGCCATGAATATCTGGATGGTATAAAAATTCTGATGGAAGCTGATCTTTGTCAGTGCGATAGCAACAGTCCTGTTTACGAGGAAATCAGCAAACAGAAAAGAGTTTTAACTGGGATTCTTTCTTGAATAGGCAAGGTTGAAGGAAAGCTCTGACTTCTCCTAATCAGCCGAGCTGACAGATTTACCAGGCCGTCTGCAGCCTGCGCGTCATTCCTGCTTCTGAGTCCCTCCCTCGTTTGCCCCGCTGTGCCCATCTTTCTTCTGGTCCTGCTGCCTCTGCCTGCAGCTGCAGGTTCTACCCTAGGCTGCCGCCACTGTGTGCCACTGCCTGTACCTGTTCTCACGACCTCAGGAGGCATCACCTTCATGGAAATCTCAAGGTCAGCCAGTTGCATGCCTGTACTCCCAGCACTCAGGAGGCTGAGGCAGGAAGATTGCAAGTTTAAGGTCAGCCCGGTAAATTTAGTGAAATCAAGGCCAGCCATGGACAAGAAGAGACTCTGTCTCCAAACAACCCCCACCACTCAATAGACAAAACTCCTTGATGTTCCAGTTAGATGCATATGTCTGGGCTACATGGTGAGAATTGGGAGGCTGAGACAGGAGGATGGCAAGTTTGAGGTCAGCCTGGACTTCACAGCGAGACTGTCAGAATAAATAAAAAGTGAAGGTAAACTTTTTCATGGCTCTTCCATTGCCTAAAAGTGTAAATCCATACTTCTCTGTGACATACCATACGTACCGAAGCCTCTTTCTGTCTTGTGTTTTGTGGTACCAAGGCCTTTGCACTGAGCTACATCCCCAGCTCTTTTTAACTTTTTAATTTTGTGTCAGGGTCTCACTAAGTTGCCCAAATTGGGTTCCAACTTGCAATCCTCCTGCCTCAGCCTCCCAGAGTGCTGGGGATTACAGCCGTGAGTCCCCACTGCACTCCGCCCAGCTCCCCAACGTCTGCCAGCGCGCAGGTTTCGGTCTCCCTTGCACAGTGGCTGCGGCTTCCCTCCGGGCCTGCGCTCGGGGGTGGCTCACCCTCTCCTAACCCAGCTCGGCCTCCCGGGTGCCCAGAAGCTGGGTCATGCATGGTTCTCTCCCGCATTGCACTCCGTGCTTCTATTTGGCTTTTTGGTTCATGTTCATTTTATCACTATGTACTGCAGATATGGACTAATAATTAGGAAAATTTAAAAAGAGAAAGGAACTACACGAGGAACGTGAGGTGAGCACATCAGCTCTGTGCTTCAGGGGAAAAACCGAAGGCCTTCCCGTCTGTTCTGCCGGCCCAGCCCGGTCCTGATCGCAGCCCCCGTGCGGGTTACCCTCCGCCTGGCTGCCCCTGGTTTCGCTCCATAAATCGAGCTTTCCCAGGTCGGCCCGGGGTCTCAGTTCCAAAATTCATCAGTAGGGGGCGCTCACTGCAGAGCTGTAGGTCGTGTATGGTGCTGCTGCCAGGCAAGATGTAGAAAGGGGAACATTCTGCTGCCTGCCTCGCAAGCGCAAGCGCAAGGACCGGAGTTCGATCCCCGGTACACACACACACACACACACACACACACACACACACACACACACACACACACACACACACACACACA